TGAGTACGTATATCGTCAAAAATGTCAAACTTTACGATGGAACCGTCAGAGTAGACTCACATGACATCAGTGTTGCCAATTCCCGAAATATAAATAGTGACCCTCGTAGGTTTCATCGCGTCATAGGTTTAACCTTGACGTGCCACAGGCTCTAACCTGTTGGCGAGCTTTGGCTCAGGACAAAAAATATTAAAGTCTTTACACATTTGTCGAGTTATAGGCCTGCTATATTGACGAGCCACAGGCTCTAACTTGGCGAGTAGTGGATTTTGCTTCAAAGACAAAAGTGTATTCTTTGCATATTTGTCCCGTCATAGGCCTAACTATTGACGAGCCACAGGCGCTAACCTGTTGGCGGACCTCGTCTCAGAACGAAAAATATTGCGGAAGGCAATATATGTGCAATCCTGATAGAAAGGATAAGATAAAGCTCTATCACAAAGACGTGAGATATTAAAACGAGATCATTGTTTGTTAAGATGGATGACCAATCTTGTGTGGTTGTGTATATGTATATATACAGGGTGTCCGGTAAATGTTGCCTCAACCGTCGTGTGCAGGTAGAGTAAGTTAAACCGAATAGAAAAGTCTTCTACCGTTTTGCGATTTTCGCAATAATTATTGAGTTATTAAATAAAAAAGATTGGCCAATCCACGCGAATAGAAGCGCGCGACGGAGAAGAGACGTCCTACTGTAACACGATACACGGCGCGCCGCAAAGCGGAAGGAGGAGCGAACAATAAACTGTCTACGAATCGTATTCGAGAAATCTTCGTGTATCGTGTTACAGTAAGACGTCTCTTCTCGTCGCGCGCTTCTATTCGCATGGATTGGCCGATCTTTTCTATTTTAATAACTCAATAATTATTGCAAAAATCGCAAACGGTAGAGGACCTTCCTATTTGGTTTAACTTACTCTACCTGCACACGACGGTTGAGGCAACACTTACTAAACACCCTGTATATAATTATATTTTAGAATATAAAATTTTTTAAATATATTTTACTCTTAATTTTCTACTCTTACTTGTCTAATATTGCTTCTGCAAATGAACTTTTCTTACTTACTATTGGTCTATTATAAAACCTATCGAATACTTTCGAACTTTCCGATCATCCAGCTAACTTTTAATTGTTTTTATGTTTACTCCTTTTTTCCATGCTGCTGATGTTGACGCATGCCAAATACTATGTGGTGCGTATTCCTTTCTTATGCCACATCTAGCTAGGAAGGCTTGTATCCATCTACTAATTGTATCTTTGGATGCTTTTTTGTATGGGCTTGTTGTGGTTAACAGTAGTTCATCTCAATCCATAGGTTATTAGTAAATATCTTTTCAATGTCGTTGCAACACAAAGTGCTGGTTTGGCTTCCATTTTTGGTATTATCAGTAAAGGTTGATAAGCCCCTTATTACTTTTATTTTATCCGAAATTCTTATTTCGTAAGCCTTCTTTAGTTCTTTTTATATTGCTTACTTTTATCAGAGATAGTGTTTGCTTCCTATGCCGTTACTAAAGCTAACGATATTATTAACTTATTCATTAATTCCGATAGACTTAAGTTTTCCAGTGAAAACATCTTTTTCAACTCTTGTAATATCGGGTCTTAGTCATATATTTTTTCATATCTCGGCTTCGTAGGTTTGTTGTAGAAAATTCCTTTCATCAATCTTACTACCATATGATGCTTTCCTATACTGTTTCCAGTAATTAACGATAGCGCTGATCTATACGTGTTGATGGTCCCGTACAAAGCTCCTTGTATGAATTTTTCAGTAAGCCATTCCATAGTCTGCTGGACTTGCGAATTAAATATATCATATTTCTTTATAGCACAAAAACGGGCCCAATCCTCTATTGGTTTGAGGTACTGTTTTAATGTTGCTTCTGAAATTGACTGTAGAAGCAACTCTATCGCTCTTTCGTTAATTTTTAGCCTCTCGTATGCTTTCCTGATAATAAACCGGTCATCAATCTCATTTTTCTCGCCAATGGATGATGAACCTTCCTACAAGCAGATAATAAAATATTATTATTCAGCTCGAAATATATCGGCGGTGTTGTCAACATGGAACTCATAATGGATATCATGGCTGACCTTTCCAATCAGGAACGACTAAGATATCTTTCGCCTGGTCTTGTTGAATTTTCCTCAAAACCTTAAAGATTAACGTGAACGGTGGAAATGCGTAGAACTTGTAATTTGTCCATTCCAATGTAAACGCGTCTAAGCAGAATGCTTCTGGATCCTGATGCCATGAACAGAATCTCGTATATTTCTTGTTTATTCATGATGCAAACAAGTCAATCTCTGGATATCCATAGCGATTGACAATATCTTGAAATGCCCAAAGGGCTAGCTCCCATTCTGTATCTACGAGTATGTTGACTACTATTGAAGCCCAATCCGCGTCCACATTTTCTCTGGATGCTATGTAAGAAGCGAACAACCAAATTCCTTGTTGCTCGCACCACTGCCATATCTCTTTTGTTATTGCGTTCAATTTTGTTACGTTACTGATGTAATATTATCAATTCGCAATAGTATTTCACAATTTCTCATGTTCTCGGCAAGGCAAGTTAATCCAAAAATGCCGTCTTTAGTTCCAAATAGTTTATGTGCTGTGCACGCTCTGCTTCATTCCAGACTCCATATGTAATTTTTTCACCACAAGCCGCGCCCCAATCTATTGTCGAGGCGTCTGAAAATATTTCCAACAGAAATTTTTGCTGCTTTATTGGGTTCGACGAAGACTAATCTTCTCCTTTCACCAGTTTAGATCTGCAGCCAGAGAATGTGGAATCTTTATTTTCCTCTCGTAATCGCCGTTGCTTCTTAGTAAAGCCAAATATTTAAGTCTCTCTAAGGCTTTAGTATATAGCCATCCATATTGAACAGCTGGACACGCTGCTGTGATGAGACCTACTAACTGTGCGAACTCTCGAATTGTACACGATCTTGATTTCTTCAGATCCTTAATCGATTGGGTTATTTGTTCACGTTTAGCTTTTGGTAATTTGATTGCCTCTTTCAAGGAGTCCAGGATAAATACTAAAAACTGATACCCGGTGCTTGGCACTAGGCAACTCTTTTCTTTGTTAATCAGGAATCCTAACTCTTGCAGCGCTTGCTTTGTGCTCTAGACATTCCTTGCACATTTTTCCTTTGTCTTGCCAAAGCATAACCAGTCGTCTAAATAAACAGCTGATGATAAACCTCTTTCTCTCAATACATTTACCACTGGTTTTATTATCTTTGTATATAACCAGGGCGCCACACTGAGTCCAAACAGCACACAGGACCACTCATAGATTTGTCCTCTCCATCTAAATCGTAAGTTGTATCGTAAAAAACGATTCATTTTAATTTGTCCTTCGCGCGCGAATTTGGGACCGCGCCTTTTGCGTGTAGTAATACTCGGCATGGGGCGTGCCCAGGAACCCCCCCCCCCCTCGGGAGAGCGAGCCAGAGCTGACTCGATCGCGGAGAGAAGCGGACGCAAGTCGAGGAAGCGACACGTTTTCGCGAGAACAAAGGCGTCCATTATATTTTTACCCGCGATAACGCTTTCAGTTACCCTTAAATGCACGAAACTAGCTTGTATTCTAACCGAGACAAATAAATATTGTGAAAGAAGAAAAGTCAAAATTTTTTTCAACCACATCATTGCTGACGCACTCCTTCCAGAGACACGTATGGCGGGCATATGCCCTCAGCGTAATCATTACGCAACAAAATTGGTCCTTCGAGCCGGATTTATTATCTGTTTATCTGTGCTTCGGAAGAAAAGTGTGGAAGAATCCGGGAATCAAACGGGCGAAATTCTCCAACGCACTGTAAGCTTTCGGTATCGCAACAGGGGTATCAAATTACATCGCCGCGACAGGCGACATCTACTGCAGTACGATCTTCCGAACGGCTGGCTGATATCATTCACGCAATCAGGCAGCTTAAAATATTTTGGAAGAAATCATCAACGGCATCCAGAAATTTATTCTGGACTACCAGACTGCAAACATGACTAGTGACGCAGCGAGACCGACACATCAAGGCAGCTTCCTCGAGATCGCGTCACGTGTAGACATTGCGGCGATCTCTGCTATATCACGATTTTCCGAACGGCTAACTGACGTTATCGACGCAATCGGGCGGCCTCTTCCTACATCCGGAAATTATCGACGGCATCCAGAAATTCATCCCAGACAACGAGACTGCAGGCACGAGCACCAACGCAGCGAGAGCAGCACATCAAAGCGGCTTCCTTGGGATCGCGTTACGTGTAAACATTGCGGTAAGAGTGATTATTTTTTAGCGGCGCCAACCCGTATTCATTTCGTATTAACAAATAAACTCATTAATTCAATATGACTGATATCGCATCGCTCAAAAGAAAGCGCGCGACCATCAGGACTTCATGCACGCGAGTCAAGACGTACGTAGATGCCATTGTTTCCGTTACGCCGCCTATCGTAGCTCAACTTGAAGAGCGTAAAAATAAATTAAACGAATATTGGTCGGATTACAATGACGTACAAACGCAAATTGAGTCACTCGACGGAAATGAAGCAAGTAATCGTGACAATTTTGAGGAGACATTTTTTTCGTTATCCGGAAAAATGCGGGAGCTCATTAAACCCGCATTACCGAACTTAACAGAAGGTTCACGTTCTTCATCACGCGCTTCTGACGCGGTAGAAACTCATTTCAATGTTCGGTTGCCCAAACTAAATTTGCCGACATTTTCCGGAAAATACGATGAGTGGTTTCCCTTTCACGATTCTTTCAATTCTATTATACATTCCAATCGAACGCTAAATAATATACAAAAATTACAATATTTGAAATCTTCGCTAACCGGTGATGCGAGCAGTGTCGTAGACTCTTTAGAAATTAACGATTTAAATTATGATATCGCGTGAAATCTTTTAAAGAAGCGCTACGATAATAAATGTGTTGTCGTACAAACTCATGTAAAGGCAATCATGGACCTGCCATCTATGCCTAAAGAAAATTTAGTTGATTTGCAACATATCGCTGACGGAGCGACTAAACACATCAAAGCATTGGAAGCCCTCGGGCGTCCTACTTTACATTGGGACGACTTAATCGTGCATGTTTTAAGCTCCAAATTAGATACACTCACAATGCGAGAGTGGCAATCGTCACTGACCGGTACAAACCCTCCTACGTTCGAGAAATTTAACGATTTCATAATTCGTCGATGTCAAATGCTTGAGGCCACGGGAAAAACATTTCTTTGTGCAACAAAAACGTTAATAAGCAGTCCAGTTTAAAGCGTCAAGCCTCATGTGTCGCGACGGTCAAGCCTAAATGTAATTTTTGTAATGGCGATCACGCCATATATTATTGCAAAGATTTTTTAGCATTATCAGTACCGCAGAGGATAACGGAGATTCGCAATCGAAAAATTTGCGGCAATTGCATGCGTTCTTCGTCTCATGCGTCCGCCAAATGCACATCAAAGGGTTGCAGGATATGTGACGCCAAGCACAACACGTTACTACATTTGGCAAACAATGCAAGCGGAATACAGGAAGTCGAATCAACTAAGGCCAAAAAGACAAATTCCGTAAGCTCATCGACGACGCTGGTGACGCACGCCTACAGCAACAACATTAAAAATCACATCATGCTCTCAACCGCAGTAATTAACGCTTCCCACGCCAATGGATCAACAAGAACTTGCCGTGTGCTATTGGACAATGGGTCTCAGGCAAACTTTATCTCAACAAATTGTATGAAGCTACTCGGATTACAGCCTCGACCTCTAAATATTTCTATAACGGGCATAGGTGATACGGCTACAAAATCTACTCACATAGTCAGGGTAAAGTTACAATTTCGGTACACCTCATACTCCGTTACAATTGACTGTATTGTTACAGATCGAATCACAGGTGACCTTCCGGCTTTCACTATTAAGCGAGAAGCATATAACCTTCCTCGCAACATCAAATTAGCAGATCCGGAGTTCGACATTTCGTCTAGCATTGATATATTGATTGGAGCCGAGGTATTTTTGAAATTATTATGCGTGGGACAAATCAGGGCCTCCTCCGAACACCCGACATTGCAAAAGACGCAATTCGGTTGGATACTGGCTGGTCGTTTAAATAATCTACCAATGACCACGCATAACGTACAATCTTTTCACGCAACTTTCACTAACAATCAACTGCATGACCAATTATCAAAGTTTTGGGATGTAGAGGACCCTCGTATTGTTGCCGAGCACATCAAGGCAGAAGCATTGTGTGAGGATCATTTTTTGGCTAACACTTCTCAAGACTCTTATGGTAGATACACAGTCAAAGTTCCAGTTAACGAGTCATTGATCAATCAGCTTGGAGACTCAAAGAGCATAGCCTTGAAACGCTTGCAAAACTTGGAAAAACGCTTTTGTCGAGAGCCCGCACTAAAAGAACAATATGCACGGTTCATTTCCGAGTATTTATCTCTAGGCCATATGAAGCAAGTAAACGAATTGCCGAACGAACACGAGCAGTCTTATTATTTGCCACACCATTGCGTGTTCAAAGGCTCAGAACCATCGTCGAAGATTCGCGTCGTTTTTTACGCTTCATGCAAGAGCGCATCAGGCGTGTCATTAAACAATGCCTTAAGCGTCGGCCCGGTTGTGCAACAAGATTTAACGTCAATCTTACTGCGATTCCGTACATTCGTGTAGTAACTGAGATTGTAAAAATGTACAGACAAGTACTAATACATCCAACGCAAACGCGTCTGCAAAGGATATTGTGACGAGATGACCCTTTTCTAGATGTTAATATTTATAAACTAATTACAGTCACCTACGAAACGTCCTCGGCATCCTTCTTGGCCACAAGATGTTTAAAGGATTTGGCTGAGCGGCACACATTAAAATTCCCAGTTGGGTCGACACACTTTCTACACGATTTCTACGTCGACGACATACTCACTAGAGCAGACAGCATCCAGAAGACCAAATCGATTTGGGATGAAATAATACAATTATTGAAGCTGGGATCGTTCGAGCTCAGCAAGTGGGCTTCAACTCACCCACAGTTATTAGATTCGCTTGATAACCAAAGCGATAAGCCGATCCCTATCGAGGATAAAACTATCTCTCATATTCTAGGGATACAATGGAATCAAGACGCTGACACATTTCATTTTTCATACACGCCCTATGCAGAACACAAGGCCGTATCAAAGCGAACTATATTATCTGAGGTCTCTATGTTGTTTGATTCCTTAGGTCTCATTGGTCCTACGATAGTTATCGCCAAATTAATACTTCAGGACCTTTAGAAACTGGACGTACAGTGGGATGAATCTCCGCCGTTGCACATACATACTCGTTGGTCAACGATCAAGTCGCAGCTGGTGGAATTAAATCAATTAACAATACCACGTCGAGTCAAGTTCGACGCCAATTCACAGGCCATCCAGATACATGGATTCTGCGATGCGAGCCAACACGCCTACGGAGCCTGCGTATACATTAGAACGGGAAAGAATCTCAGCAATTATCGTGCGGAATTGCTCTGTTCTAAATCCCGCGTGGCGCCTTTGAAGGCCATATCGCTACCGCGTCTAGAACTTTTGGCGGCCCTGCTATTGGCACGTCTCATCGAGAAGATCCAAGCGGCGATAGATATGTTGGACATCTAAATATACCTCTGGTCGGATTCAACCATCACTTCGAATTGGATAGCATCGCCATCTCGCAAATGGGCTGTTTTTGTTGCCAATCAAGTGGGAGAAATCCAGCGATTAACCGGGTCAAAATGCTGGCGTCATGTACCGTCAGCTCAGAATCCAGCCGACATGCTGTCACGAGGATTCAATCCTCGTGATTTAATCAACGCTAGTACTTGGTGGCATGGACCAAACTTCCTTCAGCTTGATCAAGAACACTGGCCAAGCAATGATTTTTCTCAGCTGGGCAAGGACGCTCCTGAAATGCGAAAGGTGTTCACTACCACCACTATTGTCGATTGTGACATAGTCGACAAATTGTTAAGCAAGTATTCCAACCTGAACAAGGCCTGTCGTATTTTAGCTTACTGCTTGAGATTTGTAAAGACAACCCAAGGCAACAGACATGTTTCATATCGCATGAAGAAACTTCAGCGGCATTGCATCTGATGTGTAAGCTAATTCAACGGCGCTCCTTTTCCAAAGAATGCAAGGCGTTAACCAACGGCAAAACTATCAATCCATCTAGCAAGATTTTATCTTTGTCTCCGTTTATGGACAAACAAGGATTAGTTTATGTAGGGGGCAGATTGAAGAATTCAAATTTGTCTTTCGCGGCATGTCATCCTATACTTTTACCTCGTGATCAACAATTAACAAAACGAATAATAATGCGAGAGCATATACGCAACATGCATGCAGGAACCCAAGCTAATATGGCTGCCGTCAGACAGCAGTTCTAGCCTCTATCTTTGAGATCCGCTGCACGTAAAATCATTTTAGGTTGTGTAAAATGTTTTAAGGTCAAGCCTACGTTTTCTGAAGCTTTAATGACTTCCTTGCCCGCGGGTCGCGTAACAGTTTTGAAGCCATTCTCGCATTGTGGAGTTGATTACGCGAGCCCTATAATATTAAAGGAGAATAAACGTCGAAATGCGCGAAACTATAAGGCATACATATCCCTTTTTGTTTGTTTTGCGACTAAGGCGATACACTTAGAAGTAGTAAATGATCTAACCACTGAAACATTTATAGCCGCTTTCAAGCGGTTCATATTGCGTAGGGGGAAACCATCTCACATGTATTCCGATAACGGAACTACCTTCGTCGGCGCTCAAAATCAGCTTAAGGAATTCTTTGAATTTCTAAATAAAGACCGAACGCAGGACGATGTAAAACAATTCCTTCGCGATCAACAAATTAGCTGGAACTTCATTCCTCCTCACTCGCCACACTGCGGGGGTTTATGGGAAGCAGCGGTGAAATCTGCGAAATACCATATGACGCGCGTTATTGGTAACGCTCATTTAACGTTTGAGGAGATGCAAACAATTCTCTGCAAATAGAAGCAATTTTGAACTCACGTCCTATCACCGCGTTAAGCACAGATCCAAATGATCTTTCTTATATAAGTCACTTCCTGATTGGCGCCGCTATGAATAGTTCCCCTTGTCCCGACCTAGGTGATGTAAACGAGAATCGCTTGGTACGATGGGAGCGAGTGGAGCAGCTCAGACAACACTTTTGGCGCAGGTGGAGCTGTGAATATTTAAATTCACTACAATCCCGCTCGAAGTGGAAGTCTGATAAGGGTCCTCAATTGCAACCAGATCAAATAGTGCTTTTAAAACAGCCAAACTTCGCTCCGTTGCATTGGCTGCTAGGGCGCGTGACAGAAATTCACGTCGGAGCAGACGGGATTCCGCGCACTGCGACTGTTAGAACCACCAAAGGTTCTTTTACGCGATCTTTGTCTAGCTCGCAATAGTTCCCATGGAGTCGTTGGACGCGACTTGTTAACTTCGTTCAAATTATTCTATTGTTAAAATTATTATATTTGTATTCATTTTATCGATATATACCTTGTTCATTTATGTATTTTGTTTGCGTTTACCACGTCTACGACTGTTTATCTTAAGATAACTACTGAGTATCTACAAGCAATATTATTCAATTTATTTGTAAGTTGCGGTTTTCCATTCTTTAAGGAACGCATAGTCATGTAAACCAAAGAGCAATTTATTTTATGTTTATTTTGAAAGTCAGTTCTTTCAAGGCGGGCGGCGTTGTTTCGTAAAAAACGAAACATTTTAATTTGTCTTTTGCGCGCGAATTTGGGACCGCTCTTTTCGCGCATAGTAATACTCGGCATGGGGCGTGCCTAGGAGCCCCCCACTCGGGAGAGCGAGCCAGAGCTGACTCGTTCGCGGAGAGAAGCGGACGCAAGCTTGAGGCGACACGTTTTTGCGAAAACAAAGGCGTCCATTATATTTTTACCCGCAATAACGCTTTCAGTTACCCTTAAGTGCACGAAACTAGCTTGTATTCTAACCAAGGCAAATAAATATTGTGAAAGAAGAAGAGTCAAAATTCTTTTCGACCACATCGTCGCTGACGCACTCCTTCCAGAGACACGTGTGGCGAGCACATGCCCTCAGCGTGATCATTACGCAACATAAGTATTTACGACTGTTTTTATGTATTAGTATTAAAAAATATGCATCTTTTAAGTCTAAGGCTGCCATATAACTTCTTCGTGGCAATAACTTTATCGCTGTTCTAATATCTTCCATTTTAAAGTGTTCCGTAACAATAAACTTATTTAATTGTTTCAGATTTAATACGAACCTCTGCTTTCTATTAGCTTTGGGAACCAAAAAGTATGTGGAATTGATTTCTGCATGGATTCACTTTTACAATCACTCTTTTATCCATTAAGTTATTGATCGTATCCTGCATGTACAGGGTGCTTCCGCAACCTACAGATCAGTAAGTCGGGTTGCCTATCCGCCGATCGGCAGGGGCATGCTTTACCGACCTCGCGCAATGAAATCAGAATGCAAACTTTTATGGAAATATTTTACTAAAATGTATTAGAAAATCTCTCAATTGACTCTGTTTCATTATTATATCATTAATATTTAAATAAGAAAGTATACTTTTAATATTTCAAAACTTTTTAATAATATATTTTCAGTTTTAAATGAAATGAAAGTTATTGAAAAATAACTGGATATATTTTAAAATAAATTTAAAGTGTAAGACAGGCAATAAGAGCCAATTGCGGAAGACAGTGCGTTATCCCAACGAAACTAAATTTTTTCGTTAGAATTAAATATCTGTGCACAAGACACCAAATTTTACTTGGTCACGGCCAAGATTTTTTAAATTAGAAATAATCTCATATTTGAGATTTAATTTCAATAATTCTTTAATCCCCCTACGGAAATAAATAAATACCAGGTGTATGCATAAGTTTTTTTCGGTTTTTTTGGTAAAAAAAACACGTAATTTTCAAGGGAAATTAATTTTCTTTTTATTCAAAATATTGGCCATCGGTTTCTACACATTTCGCCCATCTTTCAGGTAATTGATGAATACCACGCCAGAAAAACTGCTTGTCTTTTACGGCAAACCATTTGTCGAGCCATTTTCCAACTTCCTCGAAATTGCTGAAGTGCTGCTCTGCGAGCGCGTGCCCCATTGATGCGAAGAGATGATAATCAGACGGCGCCAGGTCTGGAGAGTACGGCGGGTGCGGAAGAATATCCCATCCTAGCGATTTCACTGGTTCCAAGCGATGTCTTTTACTGGTTTTGCTGTGTGAAACGGCGCATTATCGTGTAACAAAATCACTTTGCCATGTCTTCTGGCCCATTTCGATCGTCTGCTGATTGTTTCTTGTGACATTTAATGCTTCTGCCAATTGCTGTTGAGTTTGAGTTGGGTCATCATCTAATAACTCCTGCAATTGTTCGTCTTCACACTTTTGTGGTCTACCAGAGCGCTCATTGTCTTTCACATTGAAATCATCACTTTTAAATTGTCGAAATCATGTCTCGCATATTCTAATTGATGGAGCGTGTTCACCATATGTTTCTACCAGCAAACGATGACTTTCAACAGTTTTTTCTTTCGATTAAATAAAAAAAGCAATGCGTGCCGCAAATGTTCTTTTTCAGGCACAAAACTCGACATGATCATTGAGCGATAAAACAAAGACGCTAATTTTTGGCGGACTCAACTTGTGTGTGTTTTTTAGTTTAATATTAGACGAACAAAATGACGTATGTTTTAAATTAATGCGCCGCGTACTTTTCGCTGGCACCATCTCTTAGTTAAACCGAAAAGAACTTATGCATACACCTGGTAAATGCAAGAAAAAAATATAGATCCGAAAGTCGTTGAATCGGGAATCGAACCCGAGACCTTTCGCTTGCCGGGCGACTGCTCTTCAACTGAGCTATTCAAATCCTTTCGATTCTATACTTTTCTCTGCTATATATATAATAATGTTGATAAGTAAACGCCATAGCCAGCGTGTATAAGTTAAGAGTTTAACAAGGCTCTGTAATATAAATTTAAAATGTAAGACAGGCAATAAGAGCCAATCGCGGAAGACAGTGCGTTATCCAACAAACTAAATTTTTCGTTAGAATTAAATATCTGTGCACAAGGCACCAAATTTTACTTGGTCACGGCCAAGATTTAAATTGGAAGAATCTCTACAAGAGATTTAATTCATACATCCCCTCTTCCCCCTAAGGAAATAAATGAATCTATATTTGGAAGAGGGGATGTATGAAATAAATCTCTTGTAGAGATTATTCCAATTTTAAATCTTGGCCGTGACCAAGTAAAATTTGGTGCCTTGTGCACAGATATTAATTTTAACAAAAAATTTAGTTTCGTTGGGATAACGCACTGTCTTCCGCGATTGGCTCTTATTGCTGTCTTACACTTTAAATTATATTTATATTACAAAGCCTTGTTAAACTTTTATTTTAAATAATTATAATTTTCCGTATGAAATGCAACGTAATATTGTGAAATATATGGAATTTCCGTTTCCGTGCAGAAGTAGTGTACACGTGGAGTGTGAGTGTGAAGAGTTGAGGTTGATTAGAGGGTTTAGTACAGAGAAAGTGGAGAGGATAGTTTGAGGAAGAAGAGGAAGAAAAGTGAGAGGGTGA